GGCTTACTAAACCAAGAGCATGACATATAAACTATAGCTAACTGAAATTAAATTTGACTAATAAAGAGGAAAATGTAAAGCTTTTTATATATTTCAATTTAATTTTAATAAAATCAACTTGGTGAGATATGAAAAAAATTTATACAACAGAAGTCCAGTATTAAATAAAAAATTACCGAATCAATCCTGTGAACCACATTGTACCCTTTCAATGATTTATCCCATGAGGCTCTGGTTCCAGGTTGGTACAGGAAATCAGATAGTTTAGCTGATGTTTCTGGAATTATCCCTTCAACACGGTAACTAATTAACAAAATAAAGAAATTCAAAACTTAAGTTTAGTAACTGAAAATATAGTACTATTAAAGTACAAAGGCAGGCTAAGTAACCAAATAACAGTGAAAAAGATGTGAAAGTAATATTAGCAGTTCAGTAAACTAATATTTGATCAGAAATAGCAGTTTATTTAAATACATACTGCAATAATTAATAAATAAGCTTTTAAAATTAATTTTCCTACAGATTTCTTTATGTTTCTATAATTGTCTTTGTAAAAGGTCTGCTTTTATTTATTCTAAAATTTATTAAAACAATTGCTGTATTTGTAATAAGCCAATAGTAACAGATAAGTTTGTGTGGTTATGCAGTGTTTTCTGGCTCTAATTATTAAAAAAGTAATATGGTATAGGATGGGGTCAGTAAACTTTTTGGTAGAGGTCCAGATGACAAATAAGTTAGGCTTTGTAGACCACATGGTCTTTCTTGTAACTAATCAGCTATTCAGCTCTACTGGTGTAGTAGTAAACATATACAGATGAAATGTATGAATGGGCATAAATGTGTTACAATTAAACTTTATAGAGACTGACCTTTGAATTTCATTTATTATTAGCTTCAGGAAATATTCTTATTTTTATTTTGTTTCATCCATTTATTTTTTATAATTTTGTTCTAAAAATTTATTTTATTTATTACTATCATTATTATTACTTTAATTTCTTAAAGGACATGTGCACTCACCAGAGAGAGACATAAAGACAAAGAGAAAGAGAAAGCGAGAAAGCAAACCACCAGGTGCAGGACTCAAACCATGGTTGACCATGTGGGAGTCCAGCCACCAAGGCACCTGCTGGCCTCTATTCCATCCATTTAAAGATGTTAAAAATCATTCTTAGTTCTAAGGTTGTACAGAAATAGACAACAGGCCAAATAGTTTACCAATATTGGGCCTAGAGGAACTAGTATAGTCCTGAACTAGTGTGCATGCTAGCTTAGATCAATAACTTTGTCAAGTAACTAACCTTTGTCTGCATCTGCTTATCCATCAGTGAGAAAAAACAATGCATACTGTATTAAAATCCAATATTAGTGGGCCAGCAGGTGGTGTGGTGGGTAAGGCGTTAGACTTGTACATGGTTGACAACAGTTCAAGTGGTCAGTGGCTTGTATTTCATGCTGGGCATATGTGCATGCATGCCCAAAATCCTGAGAGGAAAAGGGAGAAGGGATCATCCCCCTGGGGGATGATTTCTCATTTTCTCTCTCTCTCTATCTCTCCAGCAAGCCCATGTGCCCTATGGTGAAAACTTAAAAAAACAGTTCTCTATTAGCAGAAGATTGTTAAATAAAAATGAAATCTTAATAATATGGCTCATATTACTTCTCTATCAGTCACTCTTTACAGAAAAGAAGAAAAGTTTAAGTAAAAAATTTACATGTCTTAAAAGTTAAAATTTCTTTAGGATGTAAGAAAAAAGCAAATGCTATCATTACAAAAAATTGTTGTCAAGTTTGTGAAAAACTTTTCATCTGAATTTTTGTTCTTATGATTTGGTAAATAAAGAATTCATTAGACTATTTCTTTATATGTTACTTTTTATGAAAGCTCAGTTAGTTCCTAATTTTCTGAGATATTCTCAAATGTCCTCAGCATAAGGTTTTCTTCCTTTGCATCTACAGAGGGTTTTTAAAAATTTTTTACTTTTATTTTTTTTAGAGGTTTTTGCTATAGGGTGCGTGCACTTGCCAGGAAGACAGAGAGACAGAAAGTGAGAAATCACCCCCTGCGGGGGATGGCCATGCCACAATTCTTTCTCCTCCATTCTCCTCTCGGCATCTTGGGCACGCATGCACACATGCCCGATGTGAATTTAAGCCACTGGGTCCGGGACTACATAGGAGTCCAGCGACATAGTCATTACGCTAACTGCTGGTCCCCATCTACAGAGGTTTTAAGAGCTAATTAATTGGCAATGTAAAAGACAGTGAGAAAATAACCTAAATAATAATCAGGTGCTGCAAAAATGAAGAAGAAAATGAAAACAGTAAGAAATTAAATACAAGGGGCCAGCAGGTGAAATGGTGGTTAAGGGGCTGGACTCCCACATGACCGACCGTGGTTCTAATCTCGGACCTGGCAGCTTACTTTCTCACTTTACCTCTCTCCCTCTGTCTCTCTCTGGTGAGCACATGTACTCTATAACAAATTTAAATAAATAAATAATAAATAATCTTTAAAAAATTTACATTTAATCACATATATTTTGACGGTATATAACATTTCTTTTTCCAGCATGAGTACTGTGCACATTAGTCAAGACAAAGACATTACTATATACATTATCATCAGCAAATAGCTTCTCATTTTTTTGTCAATTAAATCTACTTTCACTTTTTAAAAATAAATAATTCTTAAAAAAGTTTAAATACAAGGCCAGTGGGTGATATGGTGGTTAAGGCACTACATCTCACATGGCCAAGTGTGTGGTTTGAGTCCTGGACCCAGTGGCTTGAGAAACATGTTGGGCACATGTGCATGTGTGCCCAAAATCTCAGGAAGAGAGTAGAGGAGAAGGGATTGTGGCATGGCCCTCTACCTGGGGGGCATGATTTCTCACTTTCTCCTTCTCTGTCTGTTTCTCTCTAGAGAATGCACATGCAGAATGGTGTGGTAAACAGTGGCGGAGTGTGTGTATTTGGGAGCTTTGGCCAGCTGACTAGAAAGATCATGTCAAGGAGACAGTGAGGATACGATCTTGGGAACAAAACTGAGATAAGCCTTGAAAATATTTGGGGAAAGAGCATGCTAGGCAAAGGATGAACAATTGAAAAGGCTCTGAGGTCAGCGTGACTTCAGCACACTCAAGCAATAGAATTCTGTATGGTTGTAACAGGGAGGAGGATGCGGTAATAGAAATAAAGTCAAGGAGGAAGGCAGGGCAGTGACTTGTGTCATGATAAAACGTTTGGATTTCGCTTTATACTCAGTGAGAAACTTTTAGAAGACTTAAGCAGGGCAGAGACAAATATGAATTACATTTCAGAAATCTATTTTGGTGATCATGTGAAGAATGGGATATAGTTGAGCAGGAGTAGACACAAGGAAATCCTATGGAAATTACTGAAATAATGCAGTGAGAGACAATGGTGTCTAGCACTAGGATGGTAGCAGGGAGAAAATGAAAACTAAGTTCTTCTCTTTGTATGTATCTGGTAAGTTAGAACTTCCATGGGAATCCAGCTAAGGTTTTACTAGCATGTCATTGGTCAAAAATGTTTAGAAAAAAACTAAATCAAAATCAGAGAAGTTCCTAGGTTTCTTTATTTTAGGACTTCTCTAAACATGAGTGAATCTTCAAGAACAAAATATTGCATGAGATGTCATGAAAACTCATTTGACAAAATAGAACTCATTTTTTTCTTACAGGGCATTGTGAGGGATGACACTGTTCCCAGACACTAGTCTAGTGAACTGCCTTGGACCATACTATTGTATATATCATTGTATATATCCCCAAAGTGTGTACTCTTTAGTGTAGTTGCTGATTCTAAATTCATATGCATATGTTTTTTGCTTTGATGATTTATAATTCTTCTTTAAAATAATTTTTAAATGTAACTTTATTTATTACTATTATTATTATTATTATTATTATTATTATTATTAATTTGACCAGCAAGAGATGGAGAAAGAGAGGGAAAGTGAGAAAGCAAGGTGCCAGGTTTGGGACTTGAACTGCGGTTGGCCACATGGAATTCTAGAGCTTTTAACCACCACGCCAACTGCCAGCCCCTACAATTAAAAAAAAAAACCAGAGCTTTACACAGCCCCATTTGATAGCAATCACACTCCTCACTCCAAGCTGGGGAAATAAACTTTCAAATGAAGTAGACCAGCCTGATCAACATGCTCAACTTCGTTTCCCTTATAAGAACCTAAATATCAGCCATAGCTGATTTAAAATAGTATTTATTTATATATATTGACAGATATAAGCTACTGAAATTATACTCTCCTTCTGTATGGAAAATTCCTTCCAAAGTATGGAAAATTTAGAAGAATCAATGAGTTGTACTTGATAAAACACGCATGGAAAAATGAATCTTAGTACTTTTAATCAATCCTAATTTCAAAGCTGTGTTTGGTATCTACTGGACTATAGCTCAACTATAAAAAATTAAAAGAGAGTCTGCCCAAATCAGTGTCCAGCAGGCAGCCTTTAAAGTGGCACCCAATAATCCCCACTTCCTGGAACTGATTTTCTGTGTAATCCTCTCCCTTGGAGTCAGGGCTGGGAATAGTAATTTCCTTCTAATAGACAGAATATTGCAAAGACTTTTTACCAGTTTCAATAAAACTTTAAGGTGCCCCAAAGCTACATTACCCTAAAGTTTATTTCTCTAGTAGGTCTGGGCTTTATCTTACCTACTCCCTCTCCGTTTATTTTTGAAAGTTCTACTACTAAAATAATTGATTAGTTAGGTAACAAGGTAGGGGTTATTTTCCCAATAATTATTAAAATGTATGGGAGAAAACATAACAGCAAATTGGATTGATATATAAGATAGGTACATTTCCTTTTTCCTTTTCTTTTTTTACAGAGAGATTTTTGCTATAAGGCATGTGTGCTTGCTGGAGAGACAGAGAGAAAGAAAGCAAGAAATCATTCCTCATGGGGAAGGGCCATACCACAACCCCTTTTCCTCTATTCTCCTTGGAATCTTGGTCATACATACACATGTGCCTAGTATGAGATATTTTTTGTGGTAGGGAGGTTTTTGCTATAGGGCACGTGTGCTTGCCAGAAAGACAGAAAGTGAGAAATCACCTCCCAGTGGGGATGGCCACACCACAATACCTTCTCTTCCATTCTCCTCTCGGGATCTTTGGCATGCTTGCACATTCACTCAGTGAGCGTTTAAGTCACTGGGTCTGGGACTCAAACCATGGTCAACTACATGGGAGTCCAGCGACATAGCCATTACACCAACTGCTGGTCCCCCTGCATGAGTTTTAAGCTGCTGGGTCTGAGACTCAAACCATGGTTGACTACACGGGAGTCCAGCGATGTAATCATTATACCATGTGCTGGTCCCAGTAGGCACATTTTCATTAGGTGAAGAAAAAGCAAGAGCAACAGAATGAGCTAGCTGAAATTAAATCTAGTCTTCTCAAAAACATATGATCATCTGATTGTATTAAGGTAATATCATGAATAATAACTAAATTACTCTAAAATATAAAGGTAAATAATGCCAGCACACCTCCCTTAGTGTACTTGTATTTGTCATAATAGGATCATAAAAAAAAAATTCTTAAAACAGCTTACAGAAAAAAATGGCATACAAACAGCAAGAGAAATAAAATGAGGAAATAAACTTTACTTTTCAGTGGCTTTAGTGCAAAGTGAGGGGTTTTTAAAGACCATAAAACACTACTGTTAGGGGACTGGCAGGTGGTATGGTGGTTAAGGTGCTAGACATTCCCACATGGCCAACTACAGTTCAAGTCCTGGACCTGGTGGCTTGTTTTCTCACTCTGTCTCTCTATGTCTTGCTCTGGTCATGTTAAAAATTAAATGAATGAATAAATAAAATTAAATAAATAATTCTTTTAAAAATTTATTCATTTATTTATTTTAATGTGACCAGAGAAAGACGAGAGAGAGAGAGAGAGAGAGAGAGAGAGAGAGAGAGAAAGCTCCAGGACTCGAACCGCGGTTGGCCACATGGGAGTGCCCAGCACCTTAACCACTATCCCACCTGCTGGTTCCAAAATAAGTAATTCTTAAAAAAATCCCACTACTGTTAGCAAGAAAATGCCAATTTGCTTTTATAGTAAATATATTTAATTATTCACTAGAAAGAGTATTTTTTCCTGAATTCAAGTTTTAAAATAATTAGATGGTATATACTAGGGTGTTGGAAAAGTCATGATGCATTTTGCATAGGAAGACATAGAAAAGCACATCATGACTTTTTCAACAACACAGTAATTGCTTGATTTTATTAATATCACACTTCAGCCAAGTGACTTAATAATTTCTATTTCCTGGTTACTATCAAATAATTTGTTACAGTTAATGATGTAGCATCAAATTCCAAATACATCAATGCCATTGAATTGAAAACAATGATTGTAAATAGGAAATATTACTCACAGATTCCCATGAAATTTTCTAGAAGGCTTGCTGGAGACAGTTATCTTTTTCTCAAAGGGGAATAAAAATCCACAAATAAGTTAGCTGTCAGATACAGAAAAAATGACAATAGAAAAAGTAAAAATACATATTTTATCATTTGTAAAATGATAAAATTATTTAAAAAATGTCTTTACAATGAATTGTCTCGCATTAAAAAACAAACTCTTGAAACATATTTAACTTGTTTTCTTACTGAAATTTTAATCACTTTCCAGCCTGATAAATCTTGACTATAATCTAAAAGTTCTTGGGCAGTTCGTTGGGCAATTACTTTGTAGTCCATCAATCTGCAAAGTTTTAAAAATAAGTGATTGGTAAGAATGTAATAAAATGCTGTGTTACATTAAAAATTATTTAATTTTATTTATTATTATTATTTTAAAATTTGCTATAGGGCACAAAAGTCAAGTGAGAGAAAGAGAGAGAGAGAGAGACAAAGAGAGAGAGAGAGAGAGAAAGAGATGAGGAAAGTGAGGAAGCAAGCCTCCAGGTCTAGGACTCAACCACAGTAAGCCCTGTGGGAATCCAGTGCCTCGACCACCCTGCCACCCCCTGGGCATGCCATGTGACATTTTAATACTATATCTACAGTGCCTGACATGTAGCAATGGATAACAACTACTTTCTCTTTATTTAGTCTTTCAAATGAGGAAATGTGGAATAACAGAAAAAGACTTTGAATACAATGAAACATGGGTCAAATACTGTTTTTGCCACTTATTGATTATGTGAAGCATTTTGCAGAATATCGTTTTTCCATTTTCTTTAAAAGAAATTGGAATAATACCTGCCCTGTAGAATTAGTGTATTAAATGAGATAATGCACTAAAATGTCCTACCTCAGTGCTTGGCATATAACAGTCATTCAACAAATAATTTTTATCTCCAGCAGCTTGTTCATGCCTCCTTTCTCTTGTAAAGCATCGCAATCTGTTATGTTCTTGGGACTTAATCTTTTAAAGTGGCAGTAGCACCACATTTCTTGACCCCTGGTTTCTTCTTTAAACCTAGGTCCTACTGGTCTCCTTCTTGTCCACTTGTCTCTAACCATAATGATGTCCTGGCCATTCCTCAAATACAACCAAGCAAGTTCTGACCACAGGACCCTTGTACTTGTTGTTTTCTCTGGTTGGAACACTGGGCTTGTTCTATCGGCAACCAACTTGATATCGATCGAGAAATTTCATATGATTGAACACACCACTAGCTATCAACTCCTGCAGGAACTGTCTTCTCATTTTTTTTTTTTGGAGAGATTTTCACCATAGGGCGCGTGCACTCGCCAGACAGACAGAGAGAGACATAGAGACAGAAAGTGAGAAATCACCCCCCAGGGGGGATGGTCACGCCGCAACCCTTCTCCTCCATTCTCCGCTCGGGATCTTGGGCATGCACACACACGTGCCCGGCGTGAGTTCTAAGCCACCGGTCCGGGACCAACCGCGGTTGACTATGTGGGAGTCCAGCGACATAGCAACTATTGTTAACTGCTGGTTCCCCTGTCTTCTCATTTTCGAATCACTAACACTTATTGTCCCAGTAGACTTGTTTAACCTAACCACTAAATTGAATTTTACAGTTTCTGAACTTTTTCATTTGCTGAGAAAAGAGAAGGTAAATGTTTAATAGGCCTAGAAAGGGTGACAAGAAGCGCAAGCAAACAAGACCACAGTTTTCTTTTTTAAACTTTTAAAAATTAATTAATTTATTTATCTTAATTGACCGGAGAGGGACAGAGTGAGAGAGAGAGAGGAAAAGTGAGAAAGCAAAGCTGCCAAGTCCTGGACTCAAACCACAGTCGGCCACGTGGGAGTCCATCTCCGCCAACCACCATGCCACCTGCCGGCCCCGTGGACCACAGTTTTCTTACCTGGTGGTGTAACACTGGGTGAGCTGGAACATATTCAGGGGGAGTAATGGTCAAGGATCTCTTCACCCATAGGGCCAGTGGAAAATAAATAAACCAACATTGAGATGCCATTGTTTTCTGACACACCACTTGGTTGCAACTGGAGTCTTCGCACTTCATATCCTGTCCCAGCCTCGTAGACAGGTTCACTCATGTTGTTAGTGGGTCTTTACATCTGTTTGTATACTCTCCCTCTTTCTGGGCTGCCTGACTGGGTCCCCAATCCGTGCCGGGTCATTGTCATTCTTCCCTGGGAATCAAGGTCCCCAAGGAGTCCGTTAAATCCCGTCCCTGGCCAAATCCCCTTCTGCAGTCCAGCACCTGCCCTGAGTGTGAGGGGCGGGCTCGGGGCGGGATGGAGAAGGCACTGAACCGGAGGGCCACGAAGTGAAGGGAGGACCCGCCCCCGGGCTGAGATCTCCGGAAGGGAAGCTCTGAAAGTCGGGAGGTGGGGCTCACAGGGAGGAACTGGGACTGTGGGGCTGGGTGTCAGCGACCCCAAGTTTCCTTCGCCGGGGCCCCTCCCTCAGCCCCGGGGAGGCGACCGACAGACGGCCACTATGCGCCTGCGCAGATCAGTGGAGACTAGTGGGGACGAAGGGAGGGCGAGGGACTCCGCGGCGTGGACGCAGCCCAGAACCAACCGCCCACCGGCCCAGAAAGCAGAGGAGGCAGAAAGCACACCTCCCAGCGCGGCCGCGCCCCAACGCTCCGCGGAGCCCACCTG